TCTTCAGTAGAAAGATTTTAATAACAAAATAAAAAATCCTCAAATGAAATTAAAGCACACTGATGCTTTTTACCACTTTTTTAGGATATATTTAGGATATATGTGTGAAATCTACTATAAACCTTGACAGTATCTGTCACAACAGTTAAACTGGTTTCACTTATAGTCCATGTGTTTTTAGACTAGCTCACATTTATATGCCTGAGCAGTATAGGGATGTATTCACAATATCTGAGTTAGTAATTAATTACATGCTGCTTAAATAATTCATGTATAGCTCTCCGAATGGGTGTGTTTGCATTTCCATGATTATAAAAAAAATTGTGAGAAATCCACTCTTATCAGTAAATGTTAACTTTGTTTATTAATTCTCTGTGTTGACTGGTGTCAGAAATGAACAAAGTTCCTGCTGCTTATCCCAATCATCCATTGTTTGGGTTTTTATTGATATCAGTTAGGATCTTTATCCCTCCTGTTCAAGTAATAGCCCGTTCAGACGCTTAGTTGAACTGGTTTAAAAACCCTGGGGATCGTTAAACCAGTTTAACTTAAGCGTCTGAACGCAAATGTGGGGCAAATAAACCAGTTTAAAAAACCCTGCTCGCGACCTGTCTTCGAGAAGGCTTTTTATTTTAAACTGGTTCATCTTAGCCATCTGAACGGGTTGGCTTAAAAACCCCAGCTCCAGCTTGCTTCGAGCATGCGCAGTACGCAGTTAGTTACATTCCTGTGAAAATATTGGGGTCAGACAGTGCCAATGTTATCGAAAGCGTGCGAGAACCGAATAAAGAATATGAAGCTACCCATGCGCAGTTAACTCTAACCTCAGACCGAAGAGGTCAGAATAGTTAAACTGGTTTGGCTTATAGTACGTGTGAACGCAACATTGATGCTGTCTTAAAAACCCCAGCGATTATGAACTGGTTTAAAAATAAGCGTCTGTACAGGCTATTAGTCTCAGAATATTCCCTTGCTATCCCCCTACCAATGATTGACGATGACCCTCACATTATTGTATCTTGTTACAATAGGAGTGAAAGACTGACACTATAGAATAGGGACAATAATACTGTTGTGGCAGTAGACAGACTGACTGCTGTCCTCTTGACACAACCTCTAAAACCAACTTCACTAATATAACATTCAAAACTAGATTCTGTATCAAAACTCAAACTCTCACATAGCCCATATGTTTTTCAACAGAGGCCACATGAGGGTGTTTTTATTTTGACAAGCACGGAAAAAACAGGGAGTAGGCTATTTGATACCATGTACCAAAACTGAAGCCAACTCTGTCTAATCTGTATGTTACTGCCTTCGACTTGCCAGATTGGTTGCCTCGCCAGTTGCTAACTTGAGCATCCATAATCTACACACTAAATATTTTCCTATTCACCTTTGATGTAAAAAGTTCGCAGTATATGTAATATGGAGCAGGTTATATGTGTTATTTGTGTAATGTTTATAAGATTGTGTTAGGATATACATCAATCAACATTCTTCTATATAATGGATTATAAGAGTAGATATGGTAAGATTTTTATGTTTGCATCATTTAGATAATATCTGTTGTTATACATATATTCTACACTATATACTGTTTTATTACACATCTTTCTAAATGAATTGTTCTAATGGTAAATGGAAAATTGCTTGTTTACATTTGAGTACAACATGGCTAACATGTGTAATTGAAAAGTATTCCTTTGTGTGTGGAAGTATAGTTTCATTTTCTTTTTAAATTTTAAGCATAAATTTAAGAATAATATGATCTACTATAAGCAATTTAAATGTGATTCATATAAAATATTATTTAGTGAAAATGTCTTTTTACAGCAATGAGGTCCAAAGTTCAAGTAACTAATAAGATGAGAATTACATTGTTATTTTGGAAAATATATTTTTTTGTATTCATTTTTTGTTCTTAACTAGCAAATTACTGATCTCGTACGGCATAAATTGTATTGTGGATGATATTTTCAACACCAATCATTTACGATCCTTTACGGGTGCTAAATGAATTCCAACTGCAGACGACATATTTCATGTTGATGTCACATGGTCTGAATTACTTTGCTGTAATTTTGTCCACCTTGGTTACATAGCCGTCATGAGCTTAAAATCACACATAATTAATTGAAAACGCATGTAAATAAAGCCCTATTTGTTCATTCAGTTCTGAACATTCACAGTAGTATTTAATTATATTGTATCGTGCAGAAATTGCAATGAATACGAGACCGACGGAAGCGCACAATATCAAACTTTCAGTTTTGCAAATCGGCAGCTAATAACATTGCATGTACGTAAAATATGTGAAACTTGGTGGAGATTATCTATAGTTGATATCAACCCGGGAGATTATCTATGTTGATATCAATCCAGGAGATTATCTATACTTGATATCAATCCAGGAGATTATCTATAGTTGATATATCTGGGAGATTATCTATAGTTGATATCAATCCAGGAGATTATCTATAGTTGATATATCCGGGAGATTATTTATAGTTGATATCTACCCAAGAGATTATCTACCTTTGATATTTGGTTTTATTTTTTTTAAATGAAAGTTAAATAATCATCAGTGTCTATTTTAGAGTGGATGAAGGCGTGAAACGTTCAGGTATTGTCTGTAAAAATTAACCTTTTGATTACAAAGTAATGAATTATAAACTTGGAGAATATAAACTTTATTTTGAACTTGTGATAAAGTAAGCCGAGATGCTTATACTTCACAAAAATTCTTCGACTATAATTATTCACATTATTTTTTATTATCACAACCATACGTTTTCAAATATGATTAAACATATAGTCTTTAAAAAAATGTGCTAAAGACAAAATTGAGCATAGAACCTGTCAGTTTTGGTATAAAAAACAGTTGAGTAATATTTATCTTGCTGATGTTAAACTGAAGTCTGTTGGCAAGGAAATTCTAGAATTATTAATTTTGGTGGATGTTAGACTCCAGCACTGACAGTGATATATGGCTGTTTGTTATTACCTTTTTTTTTACTCCAGCCCAGATACATTTCACAAAATTCAGGCAAAATTATCTCTAAGTTATGTTGGTTGTTCGGTGATAGAAGAATTCACTGGATCTGGGTTTCTGTCAGTTATTCTTGTTTTATTATATTATATTATGTTTTAATTCAAGCAATCATATGAATAAGGTCATTGGCATAGTTTATATATTTGAAAGTTTATTGATTAGAAGGGTATACTGGTGTTAACGGGCATAAATAGAAATATGGTTTATTTTTTACATACACAATATTGTTATTAAATGCCTAGAAATATCTAAAACTTGTTTGAACTCTTTAGAGATGGAGGAACATAACATGCTATCTTTGCCTTCAGACAGCTTGTATTTCACAAGTTCTGTTTAGATACTTTGTGAGTAAGAAATACAGGGATAAAGACTTGAGAGAGGCAAAGATCAGCAAATGGATTGTTTCATTGGTTAAAAGATTCTCAGCTCATTCAGATGGATGTATGTTTTCTTGATAGATATACACTTAAAACATGGTAACACTGCATGTTTTTACATCATTTATGTTTACAAGTAGAGAATGCCACATGGATATTTGGTAACAAATGACATAATGGTATTATATTGCTACATTACCTGCTGTTCTGTTTAGTTAACAATCAGTTAAGACATTGTTCTCTCAAGTAGGCTTTTTGTATTTACTGTATAGTTTTTCTTCAAGGTTTAAAATTTTATAACCTTGCTGTCTTATGCCAAGTGACTGTAACAGTTACAATTCCTCAATGTTAAAGTAACGGTTCTGTGTGCACACAACTGTGCCCTTTGATATGAACCAACTATCCTAAATTGTTTTTTTTTTAAAAAAACACATGAATTTATGATGTTGTAATTATTTAATAGAAAATAAGTTGAAAAGATATTATGATATATTTGGTATGTTGTGGTTTTTATCTTAGTGTTATTTCAGTATCAAGTCAATTAAAACTTGTCTACCATCGTCTATAATTATATCATAAATCTCTTATCATATGTCTTAATAACAATCTTTATGATGACAAAATGTCTGCCGGCTCAAGGGTCTCGATTAGTTGCCATTCCAAGATGGTGTAACATACGCTAAAGATGGGTGTTACCAACCTTCTCTTCGTTGAAAATTGCTCATTAGCGAGCTTTCTTTATCTGGCTTTTCCTGCCCAAACTTCTTATATTTCATTTTCCTCATGTATTTGGTATTTGGTGGGCAGCTATGGCATCCTTGGGTACAGAATAACTTGAGATTTTCTTGGATAAACCTCAGATGGTTGATGTTGTTGATAGATAAGATGTTAGTACAGCTGACTAAAAGAAATAACAGAAAAGCTTATACATGTTTATTAATTATATGTGGCATATCTTATTTAATAATATAGAAAATATTAATTCAAGTCCAAATGAATTCCCATCTTCATTAGCCCGGTAGGACGTTAAACCCCATTTCATTTCCAAATGAATTAGTTCCCTTTTAAACTTGAAAAACAGGAAAGAAATTAGACATTTATTTTTGATTAAATGTTAGTGGCTTGGTAACCTATTAAATATATAAAATATCATATAAACATACTATATTTCACACTGATGTTAAACTAAATATTATGCTAAATCACAGGTTTGTTTTGAGTTGTTCATTCAGTAATGATATGTGGAGTCAGTATCCAAGTTAGGACAGACATCCTTAATTATTATGAGAACATGCCGTAACTTCACTTTATGCAATTTATGTACATGTATTAAATTTCAACAAGTCGTGAACTTTACAATTAATATGAGTACTGGTAGTTAGTTATAAGTCGTAAGTAGGGTTTTGCGCCATCCGAAGCACTTCAAATATACCTCCTGTCAAATGATACATCTCAAAGAGAAAAAAAAACCAGTTGTGATAAATAATTATAAATGCAGATGATATGTAAAAATGCGTATGAAAATATCTGTGGTTGATTATGGAAATATATTGTATTGTATTTTTCAGAAAAATGATGCATCGCAGTTGAAGTGTTCAATGTGTAGACGTGTAATGCCCAACTTGAGTTTCTCTATCCAATATGGGAAAGAAATATAAAACAGTGTACAGAAGAGTGGAGTTATTAGTTATATTTGCTTCATGGTTATCTTTCACATCATCAGCAGGTAAAAACTCTTAAGTTATTAGGGGGGTGGGGGGATGGATGATTGAATTAATGCGTGCGTGTTACATCATAAGATCTATCATTGAGTCAAGTGGCGTGGTTTTGATTTCTCCATTTGTTCATGACAAGGAGTAGGGTCACCTGTCTAACCTTGTGGGTTTTCTCTGTTGCCTACAGTTTCCTCCCACTGCTAAAAACACCTATGCACAAGCGAATTATTGAAATAAAATTGAACAATATGTTAGTCCCAAAATGCCTTAGTTTGTGTTGAGTAGATGTTAAACCCAATTTCTCTCTCTCTTAATTTATTTAGATTTATTCCTTGCATAATTTATATTCCTAATATTAGTATCTTATTTCAAAGACAATGAAATCCAGTAAGAATTGGGTTCTTTGTAATATTGTTATGTATAATTATTTACAAGTAGGTGTCTTGGGGCAATTCTGTCACCCTGGTCAAATAGAAACTACAACAAATAATTGTTCACACAGACTTCATATTTGAAAGGATATTTATTATATATTGAAATATTGTAATAATAAAAAAGAAAAGTTTCCTGTTATTGTATGTACTGTGATATTTGTTGTTTGTTGTATAAGATTGTCGAAGATTTCATCTCTAACTGCTGATACTAGATTCCTGTAGAATGACAAGACGACTGTTTAATATAGACTATCAAGTACACTGTAGATAACCCTAGAGATAAAATATTCCCTCACCAACATTATTACTTAAAAACATCCCTTTAAAATGTTTCTCCATCACACTTCATCTCACATTCTACATAGTTTTTGGTGCAGTGAATGAACCAGATATTTCTTGGCATTTTTATGACTTGAATGTATTTTCATCCACAAAAAGACTTGGTAAATTATTTTTTACTCCAATTTAGCCATGTAAGTTGAGATTTTAGGGTGTATAATATATATATATACATATATTTTTTTCATTCAGATTTATGAACATTAACAATGTAATAAAATATGATATGTTGACTGTAATCTTAGTTTCATTATCACCTTGAAATAATCAGTAGAAGTACATTACAAACATTCAGTTACCATCTTATATATAGCTCAGTCTTTTAAAGAAACAAAAAATTAAACATTTACTGGCGCTTCGTGAGCATGCTGAATAAAATCAAATACCATTGATCCTAAAGTGACAGTTTAATTTACTCATTTATATGGAGACCCATCTGATAACAAACAACACCACAATGAATTCCTTAAAATGATGTGAAAATATACACTCATAATTTTTATTTTTTTCTTGGTTATATTTAATTGTTATTCAGTTCTTGCAAAATTGAGAGTTCATCAAATTTGAAAAAAACAACCCTGACTGGTTATGTATGCTATTAAAATAACAATGTTATGGTTTTGTCAAGAGGGTTTGTAAGTGTATTTCCCCTGACTCTTAACAATGTTGATATACAACTCTTGCTTCACGGAAATCATTGTTTAAATGTTTAATGATCATGTCTGAGGATTGTTTGAGCTTGAAGCAAGTACAAACTGGTTTTTTTTTCGTTTAGGGAATTGATGCTAGAATTACTTTGAATTTTATGATTAAGGTTACATCCAAAAACAAATGTATATATTAATAAAATTATTTTATATTTTAATCAGTATTATAAATAAGTATCAAGTTTTTAAAAAATATATACCTTACATGTATCTCCAAAACTTTGTTTTTCGTGTATTAGAATATAATTTATTTCAATTTGGAAAACATGGCCAAATCTGGAGTAATGAAATGTTTTAAAACCTTAATGTCTTTTTGATGATTAATGCCAATACAAATGTAGAAATGGGAGTACAGTTCATGGTTCTTGTTTCAATCATAATGCCAGGCTTCATTTACTGGCAGTGAAATTGATCACCTAGGGACCTGTCAATCATTTTACATTCCATAAAATTCTAATTTCAAAGAATTTAACATTAAAATACAGTGAATGTAGTTAAATCTTTAGTTTCTAGATGCAAAAAACAACTCTCATAATTCTCATAATCTTTGAAATAAAATATTGTCAAACAATAGATGATGCGGACAACAGCTACTTTTCTCCATGTTACTATTCAAACCCAACACATAATAAATGATTGTGTTACAGATAGAACTAGAACTACATCAATTAGAAAGAATAGAAACACAACAAAAAGTTGATTTCCAAACAATAAACAAATTTGACTCATTTGTACAAATATCACCACTTTAAGCTTGAGGATGCCATTTTCACATATTTGGTAGTTGAGATGATACCACTAAAATATTTTTGAATAATAATGGCCCATGGACAGGGGCACCTAGAATTTAAAAGAAATTTTACAAGATTAGCTGTCAGTATTATCTATCTTTGGTTAGAATATAGAAAAACAGATGGAGGATATAACATTTCTCTTCCAACAGATGACAGTGGGTTATAGTTATTTGTAAAGTTTCATACATTATATTTATTTATAAAGTTTTATACATTATTTTTTTTTAGATATTTTTGGGAGTTCATTATCTGTACATTAATAACTAATCTTGACTACTGCACATAACTTACACATTACATAGCAGTGCATGGTTTCAAATACATTACCTTCTTCCTTTATGAATATTTATAAGGTTTGTAGGTTAGATATTAGTATTAAATTAACTCACTTACTTAATTCTTTGAACAATGTATTTGGCAGGAGTCCAGTTCATGATGGTATATTATTGTCTATAAGTTTATGGTATAAACCAATTTTCAAAATTTAATAACAGTTACAATGTAGTTTGAAATAAAACAAAACATTGTTCTTAAAAAGATTACAGTTTTATAATATTTTATGAATATTATAATAATATTAATTTTTGAGCAATTTTTAATTTATCAGAACTCAATCATATGGTAAGAAGAGTTCTGGTAGGCAGAAACTATGTCCTCAAAAATATAGAAATAAAATTTAAAAAAAAAAAATATTTTCCACCTAAGATTATATGTAAAAGGACATTATTGATGAGGTAGTTAAGAGTAAAACATAATATTAAGAAAATTATGGAGTTACTACTCTGGGTGCAGATGCAGCAAGAAGTGTATATCCAACTTTGGGCAAAATTCCCTCACCTGGCATTGCAAATGTGCGCAAGATATGTGTACAACTACAAATGATTATAAGATAATTTTTAATGCATAATAAACTACATTGGCTAATAATAACAGGTCATGTGGCTCCTTTTATATGATGTATTGTTATTTGAGAAGCAGGTTATTTCTTCATGTGGTCTGATATTTATTTATATGCACATTAATTTCCTTTGTCTTTAACAATATGTTTAAACTCCATTCCATCAAATAGCACTATGGAAGCAAAATCTTTCTGTGGTTAATTTACACTAAAGATGATGTGAACATGTATCGACTGTAGTGAGTAGTTAATAGAAATACACAAGTTAAAGGTATATAATAACTTTACCAAGTTTACTTGTCAACAATCATGTCTGTATTAATTTGAAAAACACTTGTCAATGTGGGGTTAGTATAATAGATGTAGGAAACCTGAATACACAGGAAAAGTAAATGATTTTTTGGGTAAGGGTTTATCTATGCTTCAATAACTACAAGCAATATTGTAAAGGTTATGATTTATCAGTTATTTATTTAGATATAAGACTTCTTCTTTACTATTGTTCACTTGTCTTTTCATACAAATTTTACATTGAAACTTTGTGTATAGTTCCTATTGTTGTGTCCCAAGAATCTGCCTTCATACAATCTCAAACAGTCGGCAAAGTTTTCTTCTTACAGAAAATTTACTCACAATCAATTGAATAGAAGATATAATATTTTCTTTGAATACTTTACAATTATTACAACATTATTAATCTAAAATTTAAAGAAAGAGAGTTTCAATCTAGGATTATTGTATGTGTCTTTTTATAAAGATTCACATGAATGCCCTGAAGTCATTGGTTAATAAGACTAGAAATTCAGGCTCATATTTCTGTGGCCAATTTGAATAGGGACCTGGTTATGGCTGATTACTGTGCTATAGAGCGAAATCTATCCTGGGGCGCTATTCAATTCTCTAATAATTGGGATAAATCTTAGATAGAAGAGTTGAGGACAAAGGGTGGTAGGAAATGTTATTTTAAAGCTTTGTGTCAGTTTGTAGATTGAAAGTCAGGCCATGCTCATTTAGTATCCTTTACCTAACGACTAATATAACTTACCTACTAAATCATTCCCTCTTAGTACATTATCTTCAGTAATTTATATCCTATTTATTTAATGGCATATACCAAAACATTTACTTTATTTGGAAATAATTTAAATACTATTGGCATCACTTAACAATTTCAATCAATTTACCTTTAAAGTATGTTTATAAATTGAAGAATGATTGAGTTCAACATAGATTTTATAAATATAACAGTGAAAAGAAATATTATTATAGGACGAGATTGAAATGTGGTTGTACATTGCTGTCAGTCGGACCATCTTGCTACAGCTTTAATTGTTCATGTTTCTAAGATGAAGTTAATTTATCATGTGATGACCTGTACATATTTCGTATAATTACTTCATGGGTTGTTACTCTTGATAAGTTTTTAGTGTCTTGTAAATACTCACATCACCTACAAAAGAATAAATATGCACCAACTTTTGTGCACTGCTCGGACGACTAACTGGGCGTATGTTTCGTTGACCAGCCAACCATCTATTTAATTTCAATTGAATTTAACAGCTAGTGTTAAGAGATACATAAAGTAATATAAGGATCGGGCTAATAAAAAGAAAGATTTAGTATTTGAGTCAAATTATAGCAGACATGTTCATAGGAATGCTACGTCTTTGTGCATATTAATATAATTTAGCCTCTTTTATCCTGGGAGTATACTGATGTTGTGTGTAAAAAAGTTTTAAGAGGCTATGTCTGAATTGACGCATACAAAAGCTTTGTGAAGTTGTATAAGAGAAATGTAGTGGAAGTAATAGTTTAACATGCTTCAGGAGAGGTGTTGTGTTCACTAGAAACCACTGGACTCATCTCTACAGGTGATAAATCAACCTATACATTACTGGAAACCCTTCACAACACACACTCACTGATTGAAAAAACCTGAAAACACAAGAGACATGAGATATCATTTATTATCATCACATTATAAACAATTTAAGTTTGTACGCAAACATGTTAATTTATATAAAACAAGTGAAGCATACAACCTACATACACCAATTATTTCTTTTTTTCATTCATTTCATAATGAAATATATTCACATTTACTTCAACATGAGTAAGTTAGATTATTTCAATACATTTAATACAACTAGGTGACTTTAAGTCAGTTTATTATCCTTCATTAATATACATTCACAAAAAAAACCTCACCACCATTTTCTTTTGAAACCCAACACTATACAGAAAAGAATCAGTCAAGTGAATTTTATAACAGTTTTGATAAAACATCTGCATAACATCTATATAACTGTTGAGTTCACAGGGAAAAAAACATACAAAATAAATGCAATAGCAAAATTCAACTTTTCTTCTACATTTAAAAAGATACCATCTCTTTGATTTGAAACATGAAAGTGTGGGTTTGATAAATATGTATATGCCCACATTGAATTATGATTGTATATTGTCATCACCCAGTTTGCCGATGGATGTCCAGAAGTTAAAGTTAACATGTGATTTGGTGTTTTTTTTTTAAATGCTCCCATTACTTACATGTACCACAGAATGCATATGAGACGACCTTTGTGGACTGCTCAAGCGACTTTGCTGCTGTGCGCATGTTTTTTTGGCTGTTACATGTATGTAGTTATATGTGAAACTCAATAAATAAACTCATCTTCAATTAATTTGTTTCAGAACTGATACCATCTTTTATACAAGAACCTGAATCTACTGTGATATCTACTGATAGGGCAACCATTTTAGTTTGTGATGTTGTTCCATCTACAGCTAAAATAACATGGCTTTTAAATGGTCAGAAATTGAACCTCAATGAAAATAATGGCATATCCTTACTCGGTAATGATTTAAAGATAGATCCATCCAAGAAAAGAATTGATGATATTGTAGGGGATTATCAGTGTGTAGCAGAATCATCAGTCGGATCTATTGTCAGTCGGCCAGCAGTATTGTCTAAAGCAGGTAAGAACCGTAAAGATGATATTCCTACCTTTTAGACAATGAAAACTTTGCACAGAAACTTTTTATTCCTGAAATTTAAAACAAAAATCAAAAACATTATGAAAATTATCCCTTGAAGACAATGTGCAAGATTAATGTATATGTTGTAGAATTTAGCCAATATGAAGACAATTGCATTGTTGTCGCGGATATCAAATTTTTTTCAAGAAAATATGGCATTGTATGGGAAGAAAATATGGTTCCTTTACTTTGAAAATACATTTAAAAATTAACTCAAGGTCAAGATTGTTTTAAATTATGTCTAGAATGTTTGGGTGTATTGTTTCCATTGTTTATTTTTCTTTGAAGGAATTCAACCATATTTTAATAATAATGTTAAAGATAAAACATTGGTTACTTTACTAATACCCAGTTAAAAATGGTAAAAAACAATATGGTGGTGTTAATTTATAGTAAAATGTATCAGTTTGTTTCCACCTGGTATACATGTGGTCAATTAACACAACTAAATAAACATCTCTACATAGGAGTAACGATTTTATATAGGAAGGGCGGACTACTCTATACACCTGGCAACCGACAATTCTCGGGTTTACATCGCCAAAATCACAACATGGAAACTATCAGACTGACTATTTATGCTATGTGAGCTCATAATGTATTTATTTAACAACATATTGTACTTGTTTTTGGAGGTTGATTCTGACATTGTGTTTCCGTAAGCTGAACACGACCAACTTTCACCCACCATGTGTATAGTTGGCCTTTGTCGGGTGAACTAGTACTGTGGCGCCATAGCTCTAGTAATATATAGTCAGCCAATAGAAGATAACTATATAGAAAAAACAATGGTTGGGATAGGGTAGATCATGTTGTTTTGTAAAACATACAGCGGATATTAAAACCATTTCTTGTAGCTGTCTACATTTTAAACAACTGATAGAATAAAGGCAGAGAATAAGACCAGTCTGTATCCGACTTTTATAAACCATGTAGTACACTCTTGACATTGTTACAATTATAGCCAGAACATATTCCTTTGATTTCTCTCTATTATAGATACATCTTGTGATATTTTGGTTTCAAATAGATGATTATATTCACATGCTTACATCATTGTTCTTACATATGTCTTTTCTTTCATAATAAAAATTACATATACTAATGTATATTGGTATAATATAGTATAATAAAGCAATATTTGTATTTTGTAGTATTTAAGTTTAAAGCTGGTAAAGATGTGATGATAAATGTTACTGAAGGTGGAAGTGTAACTTTACCATGTTATTCACCAGATATATCACCTCCAAGTTTTATACAGTTTCAACATTCTGATGGCAATATAATACATAAAAATACTGGTAAGTTAATTTATTCTAACACTGTTACAGTTTATACAGAATTAGATATCAATATTAGATATTGAAATACTGTAAGTTATACGTCATTTACTACAAATATTCTACACAAATACTCTACACAAATATACAGGCCAGTTATACACCATTTACTACTGTTAACTTTACATCATTCCAATATTATACACAAAATACTGTTAATTTTACATCATTCCAATATTATACACAAAATACTGGTAATTTTACATCATTCCAATATAAACACAAATTACATCATTCCAATACTAATATCATAAATTTGAATAAATGGTAAGTGTTGCATAATATAACACCCAAAATTATACACAAAAATACTGCTGGTAATATTTACAACAATGATAATATCCCATTGACTTTAAATTTATACATAGTGTTTAAGGTCTATTCATTTTCAGCAATTTTCGATTATTACTGCCTGAGTTATGGCCCTTGATCACTTCAAAAAATCTTGTAAATGCTCTAGAGGCTAAAAGTTAATATCCGATTGACTTTAAATTGATACAGAGTGTTTTAGGTCATATTGATTTTCAACCATTTCCGATAATTACTGCCAAAGTTATGGCCCTTGATCACTTTGAAAATCTTGTGACCCTCTAGAAGCTAAAGTTATCATCCGATTGCCTTCAGATTCATACACAGAGTTTAAGGTCTTGAGACGAACAAGTATATTGTTAAAATTTTCCTATACTAGACGTTTGCATGGGGCAAAACTATAAAAACCAAACAAATTCTAATGGTTTTCTGATAATTACTTAATGAGTTGTTACTCTTAATCAGATTTTAATGTATTATAAATGTTTCATTACCGAAAAAAGTAAAAATATGTGACAACTCTTGTTGACTGCCCGGACGATTTAGCTGCTGTGGGCATATGTTTCGTTGCCTGGCAACCTATCTTTTTCATTTTTGTGCTTAATGATCTTCCTCACGACTTTTGTTCTAATGATTCAAGCATGGTCAATAAACCCCCTCTAAATACGAAACAGGAAGTGTTTATCTCCTAATTGAAATGAACCAATATTGAATTCTAAATTTGTGTTTTCAATTTTTGAATATATTATGGATTATATTGAGTTATAATAATAATAATAATAAAAATTTATTTATAGAACGCCTTTAATCCAATATTTTGAGGTATAGTTAGAGGTATAGCTCCCTTAAGTCATAAGACAATTTACCTGAAAATATCTGTGGCAAATTTACACAGTGCATCTTATAAATGGGAAAATAGGGTAATTTGTAAACATATCCAGATATTATCTTTAAATATTTAAGGCCATGTAGGTTAAATTTTCAACAGTATTCCTACAACAGCCTGCTAACTATGTAATCATTTCAATAGAATTTGAGAAATATGGCGAATAGAGATTGCTATCTTACATCATCACAAAAAAATACTTAGATATAGTATAATAAAACTGTATTTTATATCAGCCATAGGACTACAAGTGTTATGAAATATAAAGGAATTGCACCCATAGTTAATTGATGGTCTCTTTTTAATCAAGATCACTTCATTCATTGTTATCAATTCATACTTGGTGATACAAACAATTAGTTAAACAGTGCAGCAAAGACTTTACCATGATTGTCAAGATGTCATTCTATTTATTTTTATGTTTTTTGTTAGACAGTGTGCACAGTTTTGATTCTTGTTATTCTATATAATTAAATCAGACCAGGGCATATTCCTTCCTTCTGCTTTTACAGAAAACATCAGCCTATAGGCCAACAAGTTATCAGGCACAGTTTATCCAATGTCCGCCAGTATGCATAATTTGTGACAGGCAGGTGTCAAACATCAGTTAGATACACCTTTGCATGTATGCAATGTTTCAATCTTTTTTAAAAAAAAAACTGATGAAGTTTAGATAACAATTTTGTTACAGCATGCAGTTAACTAATATTTTGTTTTTAGCAAGTTTATGCTAATTTTTCATGATATAGATGTTTATACCAACAAGAAAAAACATACACTGAAGCTAATTACCAGTTCTTCTTAATCAACACAGGCGTAAAATGTTTATTAAAAATGGTGTTTGGAGTAAGGAAAATGTAGAGTTGTTTATGAGTTTGAAACTTCTGTTAACTCATGCATGTATTAACATTGAAACAGCTGGCTAACACATGCATCTTTTTATCCTAGCTATTAAAGCATAATATTCACCAAGTATTGCTATATTATATGAACTAGTCTCATTAAATAGTAATAGAAGAGGAAAATGAAGATTAGGTGTAGCATGATTTCTGTTTGATGCTTCGTCTTATGTTACATAATTTAACCACTTGAAAACACCTCCTGTTTACCGCCAATACACTCTGAAATCTGATAGAATATTCCATAGAGCACTTGTTGATATATAATTCTTTGAATTTAAAGTGAAAATAGTGTTACTATGCTGTGTAGTTTGGGCACATTACCTGCCAAATGTTGGTCTCAAAATGGTGGGGGGGGGGTTGGATGACTGAATGGTTAGCATGCATGCACTGTATCATACGGTCTGTCATTGAGTCAACTGGTGGGGTTTCGATTCCGTGGTTGTACGTGACAAGGAGTAGGTCGCCTGTCCAACCTCGTGGGTTTTCTCCAGGTCCTCCAGTTTCCTCCCACTGCAAAAGACCCCTACGCGCAAGTGAATTATTGAAATAAAAATGACCTAGTTTGTGTCGAGTGGACGTTATACCCCATTTCTCTCTTTCTCTCTCAAAATGGCCAAACTCTGTCTTGAATAAGATGTTAAAACCTATTCCATTACAGAGTTATAGTCTTGTTCTCTTTACAAAATTAATTTTCAAATGGCTAATAGCTCTTTCACTAACTTTTGTGTCTCGTGCTTCTGCCTGTAGACTCATTTATATTTTTACTGATTTCCTTCTAGTTGTCTATTCACAGTAATGAATGAAACATTGAAGCCTGTGGCATAAACACATGCCTACTTTAAAATTGTTGGTCCAGTAAAATGCTTCTTTTTGGAGTATGAGATAAGACAAGAATGGTATCATTGTTGAATATAAGTAGAATTAATGATGACGGAAAGTCATACTGGGATTATTGTCTTACACAGGCTGAAAATGTAGGGAAAATACAAATTTTTTTCCCCAAAAAAATTGCATTTACGGTGAATAATTTGATCTGAAAAAAAAAATTAGGGTTAGAGTGACATCACCCTAGCCAAATCCCCTACAACATTTGTATAGTCAAGTATCTCAAAATAGTTGTGTAGACTAGGTGATGTTACCCTTCATTTCCACCTCAAGGCACATAACCGGAGAGTTATTAATCAATGCGGGTGCTGTAATGAAAGAAACAGCCTTCCTTCCTCCTTTGATGTTCAAGACTACAAAGCTAATATGGCAGCATATAATTTATGAAGATCAGATGTAAAAATGTAAATTATGATGCAATTAAATAAATGAGGGCTAGCCTACTGACAGGAAGTTTAAAATTACCTTTAATATGATGTATAAGCCTACTGTAGATATTCTGAGACACAATAAAAGCGAACAACTGATTGGACTGATAACCAGACATAATGCAGCTGATAGGTGATGCCTGATTGTAGACTGGACATTTACAAAATGACTTTTTTATACGCCCACATTGAAATGTGGACGTATATTGCCGTCGCCCCCGTCCGTCCGTCCGTCCGTCCGTCCATCGTCCACAATTTCTTGTGAACGCTCTAACGCCAAAAGTTATCATCCGATCTTTCTGAAATTTACATGCATTATTTAAATTAGTGAAACGAAGAAGCCTATTGAATTTCAGCAATTTCCGTTTATTATGTCTAGAGTTATGGCCCTTGTTTCAAAAGTTATCACCCGATCTTTGTGAAATTTATATGCATGATTTAAATTAGTGAAACGAAAAAGCCTATTGAATTTCACCAATTTACAATAATTACATCTAGAGTTATTGCTCTTGTTTCACTTTCTTAAACCTTGTTAATGCTTGATTGATAATAGTTATCATACGATATGTATGAAATTTATATGCATCATTTAAATTTGTGAAACAGGTCTATTGAATTTCAGCAATTTCCGTTAATAATTTCTAGAGTTATGGCGATTGTGAACGTTTGAATGACAAATGTGATCTGTATGAAATTTATATGCATTATTTAAATTAGTAAAACGAAAAAGCCTGTCAAATTTCAACAATTTCTGTAGATTAGTTCCAGATTTGAGACCCTTGTTTCAGTTTGTAGAACCTTGTAAACCAGGGTTCTTAATCCATTTTTATACGCCCACATTGAAATGTGGTCGTATATTGTCGTCGCCCCCGTCCGTCCGTCGGTCCGGCGTCCACAATTGCTTGTGGACGCTCTAGAGGCTAAAGTTAATATCTGATTGACTTTAAATTTATACACAGTGTTTAAGGTCTTGAGACGAAGAAGCCTATTGATTTTCAGCGATTTCCGATAATTACTGCCAGAGTTATGGCCCTTGATCACTTTAAAAAATCTTGTGGACGCTCTAGAGGCCAAAGTTAATATCCAATTGACCTTAAATTTATACACAGTGTTTGAGGTCATGAGACGAAGAAGCCGATTGATTTTCAACGATTTCCGATAATTACTGCCAGAGTTATGGCCCTTGATCACTTCAAAAAATCTTGTGGACGCTCTAGAAGCGAAAGTTAATATTCGATTGACTTTAAATTTATACACAGTGTTTAAGGTCATTAGACGAAGAAGCCTATTGATTTTCAGCGATTTCCAATATTTGCTGCCAGAGTTATGACCCTTGATCACTTTGAAAAATCTTGTGGATGCTCTAGAGGCCAAAGTTAATATCCGATTGACTTTCAATTTATACACAGTGTTTAAGGTCATGAGGCGAAGAATCCTATTGATTTTCAGCGATTTCCGATAATTACTGCCAGAGTTATGGCCCTTGATCACTTCAAAGAATCTTGTGGATGCTCTAGAGGCTAAAGTTAATATCCGATTGAGTTTAAATTT